TTTCTCGCTTTCTGTCTCTCTGTCTCTGTCTGTCTGGTGAGCGCACGCGCCCTGTTGCAAAAACCTCTCAAAAAAAAAAAAAAAAAAAAAGAACATGTGCTTTGGAGCCAAATAAGTCTAAATTCAAATCCCAGTTCTGATAACTACCAAGCTTCCATTTTGAACCTCAAGTTCTGACAAGGATTAAATAAGGTAACAAAAATAAAGTGACTTGTACAAGTTCTGACATACAGGCAGGAACTCAAAAAGTATGAGTCATATTCTTTCTATAGCTAACCAACTCCCCATCAATTTCCCTTTAATATGTACCTTTAAGTACACTTTACAAAGTCCAGTACCCTCTGGATCTTCTGGATCATTTCTGGTGACTTTTTTCATTCAGGGCTACAGTGTTACTAGACTAACTGAAAAACACTGTCCTTAGTCACTGAACTTCCTAGCAGGAACTCAGATTAGGAGGTATGAGATGGACAAGAGTAGAGAGCAAAAAAATTACAATTTGTAATTAGCTGCTTTCTTACAAGCTCAGTTTTCTCAGGAGGTAACCAAGAAAACAAAGTGCTATTAAGTTCATCAAGATACATTACAACTAAGGGCTAAGGTTAAAGTGCTCAGGCTTTAAAAACAAAACAAATGAGGGAACCAGCAGTTAGCGTAATGGCTATGTCGCTGGACTCCCACGTAGTCGACCGCGGTTCGTGTCCCAGACCCGGTGGCTTAAAAACTCACGCCGGGCGTGTGTGCGTGCGTGCCCAAGATCCCGAGAGGAGAATGGAGGAGAAGGGATTGCGGCATGACCATCCCCCCTGGGGGGTGATTTCTCGCTTTCTGTCTCTATGTCTCTCTCTGTCTGTCTGGCGAGCGCACGCGCCCTACAGTGAAAATCTCTCCAAAACAAACAAACAAAAAAAAAACAAAAAAAAAGCAAATGAGACTGAGTATGCAGATTAGGTCATGACCAACCGAGAAATGATGTCCTAACATAAAAGGTATTTTTAAGGAGACAGTCTAATCCTCCCTGCCCATATTTCACAACCTAATGTTTTCGTAATATAGGTAAAATAATCTCAGTAAAGATAATTTTGAAATGGAATAATCTACTTTAACTTAGCCACCATTCTCATTTAAATATATTTCTATCTAGGGGCTAGTAGGTGGTGTGGTGGTTAAAGAGCTGGCCTCCCATATGGCTGACCATGGGTTGAGTCCCAGGCCTGGGTGCTTGAAAATCACATTGGGCATGTGCGTGTGCCCAAAATTCCAAGAGGAGAAAGAACTGTGGCATGGCCATACCATCTGGGAGTGGTGCTTTCTCATTTTCCATCTCTCCGTCTGTCTCTGCCCATCTCAGGTGAGTGCACATGCCCTGTTGCAAAAACCTAAAAAAATACACACACACACACACACAATACACACACACACACACACACACACACATCCATTCCCATCTAGTCCTTCCATTTGTTAACACAGCTGTAAAGAAACTGTAATATTGACTGTATCAACACAACAAAAAATAAATCTTGGTTGAATAATAGCTTATAATAGTACTATATAACATGAATAACATATCATAAGAGGACTTCAAAAAGTTCATGGAAAATAGAATTCAAGTATGAGTATATTGTGGTACAAACCTTTTTTTTTTGGGGGGGGGAGGATTTTGCTGTAGGGTATGTGTGCTCACCAGAAAGACAGAGAGACAGAAAGTGAGAAATCATCCCCCACGGTGGATGGCCACGCTGCAATCCCTCCTCCTCCATTCTCCTCTCGGGATCTTGGGCACACACGTACATGTGCCCAGTGTGAGTTTAAGCCACCGGGTCCAGGACTTGAACCGTGGTCAACTACATGGGAGTCCAATGACATAGCCATTACACCAACTGCTAGCCCAACAAAAACTCTTTTACAATCCATGAATAAGTCTTTTCATACTACATATTTAACATAATTTTTCAAGGCTCCTAACTTGTCAGGCACTAAATTGGCTACTAGAAAGACAATGACAAAGAAGAAACTATTTTTAGCCTTTAGAAATTCAGTCTTAATGGTTATGTAGATAAATTAACAAGAAATTTCAAGGCATAGTAGTTTAGGCACTGAACTCCCATGTGTTAGAAATTCAGTCTTAATGGTTATGTAGATAAGTTAACAAGAAATTTCAAGGGATAGTAGTTTAGGCACTGAACTACCATGTGGTCAATTGTGGTTTGAGTCCTGGACCTGGCAGCTTGAAACTCATGTTGGGTGCATGTGTATATATGCCCCAAATCCTGAGAAGTGACTGGAGGAGAAGGGACCGTGTGGTGTAGTCAACCCCTTGGGGGGTGATTTCTCACTTTCTATCTCTCTAGCAAGTATACATGCCCTATAACAAAAATCTCTCTCAAAAAAGAATTTCAATACAGTAAGGCACTGTTATGATATGAATGTACAGAAAACAGAAGAGAAAGGATTATTTAATACAATTGGGAGATGAGATCAGCAAGTGACTTTAATTTAAAAATGGAGATGAGTGAATGAACCAAGTTCTGGAATAAGGCAGTATGAAATGTGAGTGAACAACAAAGGAAATGGACAGGATGTTCCAGACAAGGTACAATTTAAACAACCAGGAGTAAGAGATAATGAGATACATTTGTAGGATATGTCAATTAGTTTATTATGACCGAAACAAGGAGGCAGACTAAGGAGGACTTAAAATTGTAAAAGTTGAGCTGATACATTAAAGAACAAAAAACCGACTCTGCCTTCAATTTTATGTGACTATTGTGGTGCATTTCATGGCATTTACACAATAAACATCTGTTAAGTGACATAGCAGAGGTCACATACAAAAGCATGAGTTTCATATATCCTTTGAACTTTGAAATCTAATTGAGTTCCCACATTCTGGCATTTTGGCTCAGCAAAATACTGTGTCGTCTGGAAAGTCAAGATGTATTTTTGCATAGAAAAATAAGTTATGACTTTCCCAACAACCTAATACATTATTTACACTGTTCCCAAAGAAACTTGAGATACCTTCTCCATCCATCACAATGCTCTAAGGAATAGAATACTTTTCTTTAAAATTATCACTAACACTCTTCTGCAAGTTGATAAAGAGAAAAGAATCAAACTTTCAGTCTACATTTCCTATACAAATTGTATTTCAGAGTAACCAAGTAGTTAACAATTTTTTTTTTTTTCCTTTTCTTAAAAATTTGCTAGCGGGCATGTGTGCTGAGGGGAAAAAAAGACAGAGAGCGAGAAAGTGAGACAACGCCCCTTATGGGGATGGTCATGCCACAATCACTCTTCCTTGAACACTCAAGTCAAAACATTGTTTTAAGATAGGGCCAGCAGGTGGTATGGCGGTTCAAGTGCCAGACTCCCACATGCTTGACTGAGGTTCAAGTTTCAGACCTGGAGGCTTGAGAATCATGCTGGGCACATGTGCACACACGACCAAAATCTTGAGCAGAGTGGAGAAGGGACTGTAGCATGACTCTCCTCCCTGAAGGATGATTTCTCCCTTTCCCTCTCTCTGTCCCTCTAGTGAGCACAAATACCCTGTAGCAAAAAATCTAAAAAAAATTTTTTTAATAAATACAATTTAAAGAAATGTTTTAAGTGGTGAGAAGGGATCAGATAAAAGAAGAGCAAAATTATTGAGGAACGGGAGTGTTCATTATACCTTATTCTCTCCTGTGTATGTTTCAAATTTCCCTAATAGTTTTTAAAATAATAATTATCACTGAAAGGTAAATATAAACTAGATTTATGACACATAGCATCTACTTTTTAAATATGCAAATATTTTTTAAATAAGTTGTTAGGGGCCGGCTGGTGGTGTGGTGGTTGAGGGGTGCTGGATTCCCATGTGGTCAACCATGGTTTGAGTCCCAGACCTGGTGGCTTGCTTTCTACCTTTTCCTTTCTCTCTCTGGTCAAATTAAAAAATAATAAGTGGAATTAAATAAATATATAATTATTTAAAAAACAAACAAATGAAAAAGAATGGTAAAATACCAAAATATTATTTAGTAGTTATGTCTAGGAATTGAGTCATGATTTTCTTTTCATTTTTCAGATGTTCTATAATGAGTATGTATTACTTAGATAAAAGGAAAAATCACCTTTATTTAATGCTTCTAATTTTTAATATATTTTTCTTCTTTTTAAGAGAGATTTTTGCTACAGGGTGCATGAACTCGCTAGAGAGACGGAGACAGAAAGTGAGAAATCACCCCCCAGAGGGGATGGCCATGCCGCAATCCCTTCTCCTCTTCCTCTCGGGATTTTGGGCACGCACGCACACATGCCTAGTGTTTCAAGTTGCTGGGTCTGAGACTTGAACTACAGTTGGCCATATGGGAGTCCACCAACATAACTATTACTCAATCTGCTGGTCCCAATAGCTTTTTCTTTTTAAAGAATTATTCCTTAAAAAGTATGGGGCACAGAGCACAGGTTTTAAAGGAAAAAAAACAAACAAACACAGTTTAAATCTTGGATCTACCAGGATTAATTATGACAGTCTGACAGAATTACTTAATCTTTTAATTTCACCAACTGTAAAATGAGTACTAATTTTTAACAATAACAGCCAACATTTGTGTTCATTACCTCCTTTAATATTCAAATATCCTTTTAAGTTAGGTGTTATTAATCTATTTTATACATAAAACAAATGTACAAATAGATTAAATAATTGCCTAAGGCCACATAATAAATGGCACAGCCATGGTTCAAATCTAGCACTCTAAATCCAGAGCCCTTCTTCTCAGCCTTTATTAGTCCTACACTGCCCATCCACAAATACTGTTTAAATTCCTTTTCTTCGCATTATTTCCCCAGGTTCACCCAATAATATCTATCACCTAACCTTACCACAGACAGACAAACACAAAAATAGAAATGGAAGAATTACCTGAATTCCCCACTGCACTGTTGTTCACCAGAGAATTTGGAGCCACAGTACGAGGCCAGTGTCCATCATGAGAGGAGCTAGGGATTGCCACAGGTCTAGCAGCAGGCTGTGCAAAAATGATGCTAGGATCATTCAGACCAATATTGCTAGGGGCGCTGCCTCGTGCAGAGTGGATCACTGGGCCGTGGATGGGCCAGGATGGGGCAGGGATCTGGAGGGGGTGCATTGGCAACAATCCCATATTGTGCATGGGAGAATACTGAGCTGGTGGTGACTGGGGAAAATTATACATAGGCATCTGGACCTGATGGGGGGTCTGGGCTCCCTGCTGCGGTGGGCCAAGTTTAGACTGGGATCCTGGCTGGGATGGAGGCTGGGAAATAGCAGCTGATTGGGAAGAGTTTTGTGGAAATGGTTGGGGTTGAGGAGAATAAGATGGTGAATCAGACTGCAGAGAAAAAAAAGATGTATTTTTAAGTTAATTTATAAACTTATAATCTTAATTTTACAAATGTAAAGATAATCAAAATACAAAATTATAAAGTTATTTCATAAAAATATTATAAACAGAACTTTGGTGTATACAGTAACAAATGATGGTAAAAATCTCATTTTACATGAAGGTAGAATTTTTCCCAAGTCACTCAAACCTCTTCCATCTGGGTATTGATGTGTATATATACTATATCTATCTATCTATCTATATAAAATACACACATACACATGCACATATATACACATGCGTATATGTGTGTATATGTATGCATACACATGTGTATATACATACAGATGTATGTATATATGTATACACACACACACACACACACATATATATTTGCCATAGGGTTTTTGTGCTTGGCAGAGAGACAGTGAGAGGGAAAGTGAGAAATTACTCCCCATGTTGCAATCCCTACTCCTCCTGGGATCTTGGGCACAAATTTGCACATGCCCGGCATAATTTGTAAGCCACTAAGTCCAGAACTCAAACCACAGTCAGCCGTTTGGGAGTCCAGCACCTTAACCACCACACGATCTGCTGGCCCCTCCCAATAAATCTTTTTATTGTTCAGAGTAAAGCCAGCCCAGACATCATTCCCATGGATAAACATATATTTCCCAATATGAACTAGAAAGTTACATCTAAATATCTCCCAGTCACATTCAGTCTTTCAACAAGTATTTACTCACTGTCAATTATGTACCAGACATTATTCTAGGTACTAAAGTAAAGATACAATTAACGTGTATGCCCCATGGACTTTAATGTTTATGGAGAATGAGGAGGAGCAGATAAAGATTACACAAGCAATCATAGTAAAATGTAATAATTACTGTGATACATAATATATAATGATGGGCCAGCAGGTGTGGTGGTGAAGGTGCTGGATCTCACAACGCTGACCCTGTGATTCAAGTCCTGGACTCAGTGGTTTAGAAAACATGTTGAGCAAGTGTGTGTACATGCCCACAATTCTGAAGGAGAATGGAGAAGGGATTGTAGCATGATCTTCACCCCCAGAGACAATGCTTTCTCCCTCTTTCTCTTTGTCTCTATCTCTCCCCAGTAGGTACACATACCCTCTAGCAAATTAAAAATTAAAAAAAAAAAAGAAGAAGAATGTATATTGAAATGCCAGGGCAGGGACACCTATATTCACTCTGGGAGGAGGAGGGAAGAGAAGATCAAGTAAAGTGGAGATCAATGAAAGCTTCCTTGAGGAACTGCCCTATAAGCTGAGACTTGAGGGTAAAAAGAAAACTATCTAATAAAAAGAAGGCAGGGATAAGGGGAAGAGTATTCCTGGCAGGGGCCTGCCAGTGGTGTGATAGTTAGGGCAGCTGGATCCCACATGGCCAAGTGCATGTTTCCAGTCACAGACCTGGTGGCTTGAGAAACATGTAAGGCACTTATGTGTGCATAACCAAATCCCAAAAGGAGAAAGAAATGGAGGATAAGAGATTACAGTATGACCATTCCCCATGAGGAGTGATTTCTCGCTTTCTCTCACTGAAAAGTGCATGCACTCTGTGGCAATTTTTTTTTTTAAAGTGTTCTAGACTGAAGGAACATAATTAAAGTCTACAGGCATAAAAATGCATGACTCCTTTAAGAAATTGGAATCTAAAGGCAGTTCAATATTACTGAAATACAAGGGCAAGGAAATGACAAATCAGAATTTGAAGAGCTAAACAGAAGATAAATAATAGTCTGTTAAGACTATATCCTGGACCAGCCCATGGCATGATGATCCTACATCATGACAGCACAGTTGGAGTTTCAGACCTGGCAGCTAGAAAAACATGAGGTGCAGTATCCCAAAAGGAGGGAAAGATGAAGAGAAAGAATTGCTGGAGACCATTCCCCATGGCAGGATGCTTTCTTTCTTTCCCTCTGTCTCTTTTCAGTGAATGCACATGCCGTTTTGCAAAATTTTTAAAAATTAATTTTAAAAACAGGACTATATCCTAAGAGCAGTAAGAAATCAAGAAAAGGTTTTGTGATTTTTTTAATCACCCAGAACATGTGCACTGGTCAGTGAGACAGACTGGGTATGCAAGAAGGCATCCCTCAGTGAGTTATGGTCACACCACCATTCCTCTCCTTCATTTCTCCATCCTGTCAGAATTTGGGGCACTTTGTTTTTCAAGTCACCTGACTAAGATTAGAAACACAGTTAGGTGGGACCAGCAGTTAGTGTAATGGCTTTGTAGCTGGACTCCCATGTAGTTGACCGCAGTTTGAGTCCGGGACCCGGCGGCTTAAACTCACACCATGCACGTGTGCATGTGTGCCCAAGATCCCAAGAGGAGAATGGAGGAGAAGGGATTATGGCGTGGCCATCCCCCCCGAGGGATGATTTCTCAATTTCTGTCTCTCTGTCTCTCTCTGTCTGGTGAACGCACGTGCCCTATAGCAAAAACCTGTCCAAAAAAAAAAAAAAAAGAAAGAAACACAGTTAGGCATGTTATATCTGACTCCCTTAACCATTAGGCCATGGGGCTGGCCCCACTAAAGTGTTTTAAATAGATAAAGAACATCATAGATCTCCACTG